AAAAAAAGCTAGAGCTGTGATAAAACAAATACGATACATAATGCATAGAATTCACCTACATAATATTGATTGGTCCGGTTCCGAGCTATACTATTCCGTACAATGGCTATCAAACTATGATTTATACAAAACAATTTTCAGTGTATGGGGCAAATTATATAATTCGTTTTATGTTCGGCGTACTGTATTTGAAGAATTCGACCTATAATACCCTATGTTACTATACCTATAACAAAAGCAATTGCTGCATACAGACATAATTCAACATTTAATATACATATATATATTATCATAATTCCTGACTATACCATTTAATATGTATAATTCACCCTATGAAAATACACAGTCACAAACCATGTGCATTTTGAAATGGTTAAGCATTATCCAATAATATATTGTCTATAAATTAATATCATAGTTCAACTCATTGTCCACTATTTGTTATTTCATTATTGTTATTATTATTCTTAAAATTGATTTTTATACATATTTATCTTTAAAAATTAAGCCCAAAGGAAACCAACTAGATTATTTTCTACATAATTTGATTATTCTTATTATTTATACCTCCCTAAGTAAAAATTATATACTTGAAAACTGATTATAAAATTTTTATTTTTAATAATAATCAAAGAAGAATTTGATAAAATTATACTTAAATATAATATAAAATAATTTTTGCCAAGTTGACAAATCAATAACTAATTTTAAACATATATTTGAATAAGAGTCATGCTTTAAGCTTTTATTAAAAATCATCATATTTATTCAGCAGATGTAGGCAATATTTAATTTTAACTAATAAACATCGAATTATAAATCAAATTCATGTTGTTATTGTGCTATTTTAAATATGTATATGAATATCATCAATATATATATACTTTTATTCATAAAAATAATAAAAATAATTTACATATTCTCTGATCTTCATCAGTCCAAAATAAGAATAAAGCGTTATCACAAAAAACTGTATGATTATTGTTCTTAAATCGATTATACTTAGTCAAGGGGCAAATATTTAATGTGATTATATATAACAACTTCAGTATATTCTCTTTACGTTTATAGTAATTGTATGAAATAAATATGAAATATATACTTTTTCAATATACAATTGTACTATAATTTTATAAATACGCATTAAAAGTTTGTGAAAATATATTTCATTATTCTATAACACTAAAAATAATTTTTATGTGATTTATTCGAGAATAATTTAAAATACTAACCTTCCAATTTCCAATTATCGGGTTCATTGATATCAAAATAGTAATTGAATAGTAAAATAATTTTTGTATGCCAGGTGTGAAGTTTTGTGTATATTATTAAAACGCATTGCCAAACGTGTGTATTTTTAAGCAGCAGGCTATATTTGCCGCTTTCACTTTACTTTTAAATTCAAATAACAAACAGACACGTTTGATGTTTATTAGAATCGCCTTTAACCCAAAGCACTTAAGTTCATGGTAATATTTTAACATTAATAAAATAATAAAAATTGTAAATTATTAAATAATTAATACTCATAAATTAATATATAAATAAAATAAACAAATAGTTTATGTTTAATAAAAGCTTATAATAGAGTATTTTATTTTTAAAGTATTTATATGTATTCTTTCCTTTATTTTTTCATATTCATTCGCAATTTTATTAACATTGTGTGTATTTGATAATGAATTTTGAATTCTAAACCAATCGTACTTTACATATATAATAACGTTCTAGGCTAAGATTTTGTTTATTTATTTATACTAATAAACTATTTGTTTTTCTATTTATATATTTTAACATTGTTTCTCATAATTTTTAAAAAAGTATTGTCTTATGAAAAAATGTTCCTAACGGTAATATGTTTGAATAAAAATGTCGCCAACTGTATTTTGTATTAAATGATAGACACCTAATGTATTATATTATAATATCATAGGTAGTATAGTATCAGAGACACTGAGGAATAACTCAATATTTAAAAAAAATTAAAAAAATACAATTTCTAAGTATGCAATTAAGTAATTTTACATGTTCAAAGTAATAGCTTGTAATTATGCTAAAAAACCGTTAGAATAATATTAATATATTTTAAAAATTACACTTAATGACATTCAAGATAAACTAATAAATTTTATTTTCGAACTATTTGAATCGAGATAGATATTTTATTATAATATAATGTATAATTTTATAAAACTAAAAACTACTTTAAAAATTTAAAACAAATTGGAATCAACAATCACAAATCAGAAATAAATCAAGAAATATATTTAAATTTTTATTTACAAATATAATTTTTATCTCATCCTTTACAATAAGATAATCAAATCTATATAAATATATATTATATACTAAAATTACTTAAAAATAATTTTAAAGTATACATATACAAAGATTACTTATACTAAGGAGTAACTAATGAAGAAAAATTTAAAAAAAAAATTGTCTATGTAGTTTTACACCAGATTTCAGTTATAATGTTACTACACACTTGCATACGTATATTTTAATCTATATTGAAGCAAATACTTTCAGTATTTATAATTACCATGCAATTTATTGTAAGCATGGACATTAATATTTATTTATTTGATTATTTTATTGATCTTCAAGCTTTAATAAGGAATCGATAACAAAAAATTCTAGTAATTTTTAATACCTAGTTAAAAATTCTATCTACAAATTATAATTATAATTTTTATTGTGACTTTCAAAAAATTAAGATTTTAAAAGTCTAAAGAATTATTTTGACATAGGTAGGTAGAGGTATTCTAGATATTAATTTGTTAGTGAAAGATTATTTCCCGATATTATAACAAAAAAATTGCCCACGACTTAGGAAACACCCCGCATACATCATATATTTTACATACATATTATGATGTACGAGTATTATATAATTTCTTTATTCGTTTTAATGTAAAGTAAAAGTATTAAAACTTTAACAATTATAAAACTTAAAAGTTATTTTTGTTATAGAAAATATTTATTATTATTAACATTATCAAAATATATGTTATAGGTTGCACCTCTGTATATAAGGCATTGAAGTTTTTGATTCGAAAAATTGTTAATTAAATTAATAAGTGACATTTCCAATAAATTTACTATAAAATCTTTTTTAGTGTAAAAAAAATATTCTAGAGGAATCACATTTTATACGTGCTATTTTGCATATTATTTGAGTGGAAATAATTGGCAGCAGAACGTAATGCAATAAAAAAACAAATAAAAATCCATTATTTTATAAAATGTTGATGAAAATTATTACCAAGTTACTAAAGGCAAAATATGACAATTGTAAATCCATATTTAGGTGTAGATAATTTAAATCAATAATTAGGTACCTACCTATAAATTAATGTCGATAACAATATTGGATAATAATTTGATGGATTTAATTTAAATGAATAATAATATAATATAATCCTGAATTATAACTAAATAATAACTATAATTTATCTATAGGTGAACATCATTCTTGAACAATCATTCATTAATGTTGGGAGAGCTTTAATTCTATAATAACTAATAATGATTTGATAACTTTTTTTTAAACATTTTTATTTAAAATACATTAAATACCTATTTGAAAATGTATTAGAAATATTGTTTTCTAACAGCTAAAACAACAAGTTAACGCTAAAGTGAGGTTACAGTTAAATTGTAAACTATACTACAATAGACTAAATAGTATATTCGTATATCTATTGAAGTATAATAAAAACATTTGTTTTATATTAGGTAGGTACAGGGTCGGCGTTAGGAGTGGTAGACCTAGGCCTACGCCCAGGGCGCTTGTTGAAAGGGGAACGTCTCAATGATATAATGTTAAAACTAAAAAAAAAATATAGGCGTATAATCCTACAATTCTATCCATTCCATTGACTATTATTTATTATGATAGGTATGTATTTAATAATATATATACATATATATATATTCATAATCACTATTTATTAAAATTTTAGATAATAATAGCATCAGATAGCGATTTAAAATAAAAATACTACTAATTAGATAGGGAAGGGCTCATATTTGTTTATTCTCCCAGGGCGCCAATGACTCTACTGTTGGCATTGGGTAGGTATATTAATTTATATTATTCTAATTGTCATAACACCATATAAAATCATATTATAGCAATTGGTCGTAAACAAATATTTGAACTTTAAAGGCACCATATTGTTTTAAATTGTTTACTTCCGAAAATTATATATTTCTAATGACAATATTATTACGTGTCTACATAAAGATACTAGATATATGTAATCATAAAAATTATATGTATAATTTATTAAATCACTGTACATTTATATTTTTAGCAAATTTAAAGTCATTCGGCTGAAGCCGAAGTAATTGTAGAAATGTTGTAAATTTATTTTAAAATCAAAATAAATGTTGTAAAATCTTTAAGAAGCATGATACATGTATTAGATATATACGTGACAGTTTAATATTGGTTGAACAAAATGAAAAAAAAATCAGCCATCCTAAAAATCATCTAAAAGGCGATTCAATTCCAGTAATACATCGTTTTGGTAACTTGGTAACTATGTCTTACTATGATAGCAAAAAATAAAATAAAAACGTAAGCGATTCGCAATTTGTAATTATTTTTGAGGAAAAAACAAAGAGTTACAGAGAAGAGCGAAAGAAAAACGTTTGTTTTGGGAAATTATGATAGAAAAAAAGTTTCAAATTAGTTTTACGTTCAGTTCTACACAACACCGTTAACGTTTAACATAAGAAAACAACGTACGAGTGTTTGACTAGTGAAGGGTCATCGGAGGGTAGGGCAGGGGAAATTGGAAAATCGGAATGAGCCAAACTACTGTTGCAATTCAAACCGTGTCCTGGACGTATGTTTTACGTGGAGGGAGAGTAGTAAATAGGGTTAGGGATAGTTCACATATAAATCATTGCGTGTTCGAAAACGTATCCGAAAACCGATGAATAATGATCGATCGATGTATTTTATGTACGTAAGTAATCGCACTTACCTTTTGCGCTGCTCGAGACGTGTGTGGACCGCTGCAGTGGCGACGATCGGTCGGCCTAGCCGGTCGAGAAGAAAACGAGGGGAAAACACAAATTCAAACGACGAGGCGTTACCGAGAATATACGTATAGGGAGACGAGTGCGGACGAAATAATGCGTTCGAAAGATTCGCGAGAAAAAGAGCCGAAAAAATCTCGTTATACGGAAAACGAACCGAAAACAATACAACGACGACGACGGAGTAAAAACCCCAAAAAAACGGGCTCGCAAAACGAATAACACGGTCGACAGCAACGGAACTGCGGTAATGGTTTCGCCCGCGCAAAATGGTAACCGACGTGCGTAATACCAACGTGAGATGTGTTGGGCGCGTGGCTAGACGCGGCGAACTAACTGCGCGACCGTGTCCGAAAGACGACGACGATGTGTCGTGCGCTGCGCTCGGTGCTCTGCCGACGACGACCGCGACGGTGCGCGATACCGAGCGCCAAACCGGCTAGCGGTTGCCCTCAGGTTTATTAGTGTTTATTACAGGAGCCACTCGGCGACGGCACAACTCAAAATATCTGTTAGAACGATGTCTGTACAGCATATTATAATCAGTAGCATATTTTCGGGAAGGGGGAGTCCTGGGTTACAATGTTCCGAAAAAAAAATGGTTACGGTTTAGCGATGTTATCAATAATGAAAATTACTCAATAACAACTGAAAAAAATATTAATTAACTGACAAAAAAAAGAAAACGTTTACCATTTTTATTATAATTAACTTAATTTGTAATTATAGTAGAACAATAAAATTATTAATTCATACCTTATATGTATTTTTTTACAATATTATAAAATTGCTTATTTTTTAGAAACATTTTAAACCCACCCCCCCACAATTTGAAAATACGTCACTAATTTTAAGTATAGTCAACTTGACGACAATTTGTTGTCACTCGGATTTCATCATTATTAGAGCTTTGTAGCTTTAGAAAATTGCAATGTTATGCGCACTCAAAAAATTCACATTAGCACTTAAATGCATCAATAATGTTGAAATAAGCAAAACAATTTTATCGTTAGTGAAAAATTTAATATAACAAGTACAATGATTATTTTTATAATAATTATTTTATGATTTTATACATTATTTACATTTTTTATTTTTAAATGACAACCAATTTAATGTAAGTGCGCATGAAATATCACTAAAAACTAAAATAAAAATGATAATTACATCTAAACTTCGGAATATGCAACAAAAAATTTTGTATTTAACTTCATAGTTATTTAAAAAGAATTTATAATTTATTCGAAAACATTTTATTTCTCATTACAGATATGCCGACGCTATCGGTCAAGAGCCTTGATTTCATTACTATTATGATTACGACTGTTGCAGCATATTAATTCATTATTATTTTGTATTATTATCGTAGTTACGATTGATGGCTGGGATAGCGTTTCGTGCGGTGTGGTAGGACGTCGATTCGTAAATATAGGTAAGCGCGTTGCGCATCTCGGACACGTTTCGTCGCGCGACATTGGCGAACTGTTATCTTAAATACAATTTCCCTTTGAATGAAAAAAAAAAAAAACGCAAACACTGTGTGACGATATCGTCGTGTATTGTATACGGGTATACTTAAAAATATTATAACACGCCGAGAAAATATGAAACAATTAGTGAAATATGCTACGCGCCGTGACGTGGAAAATAGCTCGAAATAACATTTTTAAATATAAACTCTTGCTGCAGGTGCGTATACGCGTGTTACAAGCACACGATTCTTTTTACCGCACCGTTTAACCGTGTTTTAGAAAACTTTATCTGCAAATATTACGCCGGCTCCGCGCAAAATACAGATCTTATAATATACCTGTTTTTAATCCGCATTTTGATTTTACGAAAATTAGTACAATATAGTACGATACTATGACTACAAAAAATATTTTATAAATTTGTTCACACTGTACACTTACTATACTTCACCATATCTTAAAGATTTATTCGGTTTTAAATGTACGCTAGTCGTAGATGTGTGCATGCTTATGTGTGCGCGCGCTTTTATTCGATCCAATAATGTTTAAGTTATTGTTGACTACGATTGAACATACAATACAATATACCTATAAATTATAATGAGTGAGTCTCAAATATCATTGATGAATTTACTAATAAGTATCTACCACTGTATAATTTCTTTAGATAGAATCTATATAATATAAATTTATAATTTTAAATATATGCAATTTTAAGTGTGAAACAACTTAAGAATTTGTATTCAATACGAGTATAATAAGTAACTTAAGTATTGAAAAATAATGAAGGCAGTGATGATACGTTTTTATACTTTCCTGTCCTTCAATTTTTTTTAATAATTTCCCGCACTGCTCTAGTAATATGATTTGTTATTACAATAAGCATCCGCAATCATCAATAATTTCATAATCGAGTATATAACGTAGCCAGTCTGATAATGGGTCGTAATGGGTTTAGTCTAATGTAATTATCGCTCTAAATGTGGAGACATGGAAGAAAAAATATTTAGAATGATACAGTGTATTGCGATTTGTAAGAAATAAATATTAGATAAAATTCTCGTAATCATGGGTTAATTTAACAGATGCTGTGTCTTATTCTAAACAGATAATCATCCCGGGCGCTCGTGTTATTAACACCATCTGTGTACAGTATAAACATAGGTATCCTACCCCGTACCCGACACTTGAATACTCAACACACCAACACATATTATTATAATGCCTGTTCTAAAACTGAAATGATATGTGATAAACAACAGTAGATTTTCTAGAAATCTAATGATAATAAGTTAAATGTTTTTGTTTTCTGTTTTTGGCGGTATGGTCATGGTGTAAACAAGTAATAGTGAAATATAGTATATAGTAAATATAAGTAAGTTTTAAGTTATAGTTAGACAGAGGATTCTTAGATTCTATAATACCTTCTTAATATATATACTAAAATAAAAACATCAAAATATGCCTAAAATATTCCCTTAAAAACTGGTAAAACATGTTTAATAAATGCTTAAATCCAAGAAATATTTTATTATCTTCAAAATATGCTCAAATATTGTAATTATTTTATTATGTATAGAATTATAAATACAGTATATACCACATATATACATCTATATATATATTTCGATTTATATTGTTGATAGAAGTATGAATTGTTGTTTGCACTTATAAACATGTACCTATTTACTCAGAATAGATGCCATATATCTTAAATTATTGTTCAGTAGAAAATTCAAGATAACATACATACATTTTTCACAAATAAAGTAAAAAATCACAACAAATATATGTCAAGTGATCATAAAAGTCCAAATTTATGAATTGAACAAATATGATCTTTTCTACAAATAACACATTTTAAAATATGAAAAATAGGTATACCTAATATTCTCTAATCCTCAAAATATGCTTAAATATGTAAAATACATTTTCTTTTTTTACAAATTCAGAGACGGAAATTTAAAGCAACTTAAACATTTTAATTAATTTTTGAAAATATTTCAGACCATATATTTTACCTTATGCAATTTATTTTTACTGACCAGGTATAATATATTTGTTTTGGAAGAAATTTGTTTTTAGCTTATACACTCTACAAAACTTTTTATAAACAAATACTTGTAAAAGAAAAAATAATAGGTCTGAAATAGGTATGTCCTACCTTAAAAATTTGGTAGCATTAAAACTTTGGTAAAGGAACACTTCTTAATTTTTGGTGATTATGGACCCCAACAACATTTTTACCAATTTAACCACTGGTAAAAAAAAAAAAATGTTCGCTATACGTTTCTGTATACAATCGTTATGTTTATAATATGTACTTAGTGTATGTACTATAAATTGTAAGTTCAGTTTTATTTAAATAATAAATATGTATTTTAATAAACATTTTCAACGCTCTTTAATTTGAATAATTTTTGTTTTTTCTTGATAGTTCGAACTCTCGTTAAATCGAAAACCTTTTTAAATAGATTTTTTAGCCCGGTTACTTGAATACCAAATTATTGAGAGGAGAGCCGGATTAATTCCTTTGCGGGCCTCAAACAAATAAATCAGGTGGGCTTAATTGGCTATAAAGAGTAAAAAAAGTATACTCCTATCCTAATCGTGCTTCTAAGCTACAAATTGAAAAAAAAAATTTTTTAATTTTATGTATGTATGAATATAAATATTATTAAATACATAACCGTGTCAAATTAATTTTTAAATTATAGGTTAATACTAAAATTTGTGTTTATTATTATAAAATTAATCACTATTATCGTTACAACTGTTCACTAGTCTCTTCCGAAATCTGGATATAGTCTAACTATTTTTGTCTGTAATACACAGTCAAATATATTCGGCTGTTGTCGGGTTTAGTCGGACCGTCAACTTAGTACGCCAATCTACAACATTTTAAATTTTCGCAATAAAAAAAATTTCTTTGGACCGAATTTTTTCACGAGCCTTTAGCAAAGCTTAATTTGTTTGAGGTTTATACTGCACTGATTGAGAGTCTATTCTATAACGAATGAAAAATTATATATAAAACTGAAAAATAGTATATGCCAACATACAGTATCAAATGCCTCAGCGTAAAAAAATGTCCTAGAAAACTATGGTTGTCGTTCATTACATGGAAACACAGTTCAATATACTACTTATTACACATTCATCCAAGTTACAACTATATGTGATTCATTCAAAATAAAATTTACCGTTGTATATATTTTTCACTGTTTTATCAATCAATTTAAATGCTATTATGTTGTTATCAAACTAATATTGAGTTCTAACAGATTCTAAAAATGTTTGGGAGATTATTATTATTTTTTTCATTTTTTACATTAAAATATCAACATTAAATTATTATATTTCAATAACTATTCTTATAGTATCTACTATTATTGTAATGTAAAATGTTAAAGTTTATTATACGAGTTTATATTGAATTGTAAATCTCATAGTCCTTATAATTTAAAGATTGATTGAAGAATGAAAGGTATTATATATAAAATTAAAGTGGAGTTTTTGGAAGATAGAGGATTAATCTAAGATAATTTGGTATTAAGGGAGGTAAAAAATATTTTTAAATTCTGTATTGTGAATGTGAAGGCTAAGAAACAACCGAAAAATGAATTAACTTCATATCATCAAACGAGATATTACAGTGATGCATGTCTCCCTTCTCAACCTGAAAATTTTATTTATTGGGTCAAGTTAATTGGTCAATCAATAAAATATACAGTTAAATATGTTTCAGACAAACCCTCGATAATTTCTATATTAAATGACAATATAATTTGATTTCATCCTCATAAATTACAAAATAGGTACTGAATGCTTATTTATCACATTAATAAACAGTAAATTGAATTTAAACGGAACGCTCAATAGAAATTATAATATTACATCTTAGACAGTTTTTAATGTCTTAA